ATTAAATGTTATAACCACCTGTAAGTGTATCTTATTCTACAAGTAGTATTATGGGAACTTTAAATGTCTAACTATTCTTAGTAGTGAATTCCCTTAGTAAAATCACCTACCTGCTGATACTTTACATTAACACCGTCTCTGGCAACCTTAAGTAATCTGAATAATATCTGACATGAACAGTATATCACTGAATCATATGAGATATACATTATGGTAGAGTTGATTGACATATTTTAGTAAGTATCGCTTTGTTGTTCCATACTCTCTGTTTCCGTTTTACTTTCTCTAGTTGTAGATGATTATCATTAATTCGATCTGGCACAGGAAATGATCTTAATTACATCGTTCATAAATCAACAGGCTGTCCATTTAAGAAGAATTGAAAGTTCCCGACTGATATATTGGATTGCTGTAATATACATGTACTACCTAAACAATTACTGAGCTAGTACACTTAAAACCTTCTTTCATCACATGCTTGTTCTGTACATCTAATGTTACTATTTATAACAAAGTGATCAGGATATACACTTGAGAAGAATTAAAAGTTTCCGACTGATACATTACATTGCTGCAAAATACATGTTATAAATGGATTAGTTGAAGTTAGACATTAACACCGTCGAATGCCGGCTCAGTGATCTAGAGATTAAACGTTCTCACGCAATACTGATAGATCTTAGGTTCGAATCTCACTAGGCGGGATTGTGGAAGTGCATTGCCAAGGAGGAATCCCGCAATAAAACGAAACAGCCATCTAATGCTTCCAGGTTGTCTAGCTTCAATTAAATCATGATCTCAACCACTAAACTTACTATAATATCCACAAAACCCCTTTTGATAAATGTACTACTCAAATAAGTTTTGAACTAGTTAACTTAAGACATTCTTATATTACATACTTGTTCTTCATAATTATTGTTCGTTTTATATCGAATATTACTGATGAATGCACTACTGACATGTTGTCCACTTAATTAATTTGATAAGCAGAATAAAATGAATTCAAAACTTTTGATCGGCTATATTATGTTCGTTAACTTGAATGCTACTAGTGTTTCGTCTTACTCGGAACGGAACGAAGAATCAAGGATTCAGAGACTCGATAGACTATACTGATCCGTTTTCCCCGACTCAACTAACCCGATCCAGAAGTCTTGGTAAGATGTAGAAAGTGTATTCTACCGAAAACCAGAAGATACCAGGTCCATCAAGCCTACAAACCAAGCGTATTTATACAAAATACATATAATCGATATTGCCATGGAAGTTTTTAAACATTTAATCAATAAGTTCGTCAATCGACTATGTGCGTGGACGGTAAGAAATGCCGAAGTATACATCTGCATACAAGCTCCAAAGATAAAATTACAAAATATGAGTTTTGGGGATCTAACGTCCCCAACACTCCTCCTCTTTTTAGTGGCGTGAGTTCCTGGGATCGACCTGCATCTTGACTGTTGCTCGCCGCTGTCAGAGAGGCTACCGTCTGGAACGTGTTTCAGCTTGTTGTCGAGGTTTTTCTTGTGGTGGAGATACCGGTAGACAGAATATATCTAGCAGGATATCAAGGGGAATATTTGCTTCGGTTGATGGGTGGTCTGGCGCTAGCCGTTTGCGCAACTGATTCCGATGGCGTTGCCACCTGTCGCTGCATACCTCAACTTCATACATGCCTTGGCCAACTCTTCTGACCACTCGCGCTTCCGTCCATGGACCATGGGTTGGTCTGTAGTCACAGGTAAACACAGGACATCCCACTTCGTACGTGGGGATCTAACGTCCCAAAAAGGGTAATTTTAAAAATTGAGTCTATTTGCATATGATAAGTAACTTTCAAATAGAATGGTCATATTTCTGCTAACACAATATAAGGTATATGTTTTCCAAAGGGGGTTTTGTGGAGATTGTAGCAATTTCAATGGTTGAATTCATGAGCCAATCGAAGCTAGACAACCATGGAAAACTTGGAATTATTGGACGGCCATTTCGCCCTATTGTGGGACTCCTCAGCAGTGGGCACCCATGATCCCGCTCGTGGAATCCGAACTCAGAGTCTTCAGCTTTGTATTAGCATAAGATATCTCAGCAATACTGATCTATCATCCAACTATATGGTTTCGAACTTAGGACCCTCGTAATCACAACCACTTCACATTATACTACTTAGCTGAAATTCAACGTTGTATATGTTTGAATTAAATCGATTCACAATATTGCGCAACCAACTATTTCACACCGGAACTGATTGGAATCCGATGGTTAAAATTTTATTATGTTTAACCATTAACCTTTAGAATGACCTCGGTTTTTAATAATTTGTTTGTTTAACTAAATTTTACCAAAGTTTCTGTATTTCATTTCAACGATATGAATAACAATCCTGGTTGTGAGTATTTTTATCAATCTAACTAGCTTACCCAATATACTTTGCATATGTACATAATGGTAGTTAATGAAGAAACTGATACATTGGATCTGGCAAATAACAAATGCGCATGACTGACCAGGAAATGGTATGTATATCTAATGAATGGCACATACTTTAGTGATGGCTTGATTATATATAGATATATATTTTTCATTCAGTTGGTCAGCAAGCATTCTTTCTCACTTGAATATCCAACTGGACTCGTCAGTCAGTCAGTAACAACATGGAACTTCGTACGTTCGAATTGTCATATCACATTAGCACAGACTTACAAATATCGATTCAAATCCCATAGTGGTAGAGATAGTAAGAGTATAAACAGTAATCAGAAAAATTAGGGTATGAAGATGTTATTCAACGAGTATAATCCAGTGAAAAAAATTTAGAAAGAGACAAAAAGAAAGGGACATGAAGAGTTCTCAAGATTAGAATTTGGGAGGACACAAGGAGTGGATGCACCTGCACCATTTTGAGCCATGTCATTCAAGGTCTCTAACCATCAGTTGCTATCACATCGCGGATCTTAACTAGGTAGTTTGCACTTACCAACATGGTTCAGTTTACTTGTCAGTGACTTCATGGGTTTGTGCCATATTTTTATCTGGCCGCCCCTAGCTTTCTTCCAACTTACTCCTACAGCATAAAACATTGCGCGTCGGGAGATTCGGCGTTTGGGCATACGTAACACATATCCCAGCCATGTCAACTGATGATGGTTCTTTACTTCATCTATTGATTTGCTATCCTACCTAGTACCGGTTTCCTAACAACTGCATTACTTACTTGGTAATCCCAGAATATACGAGCAATGCTTCGAAGACGCCTATGACTGAATACTAGTAACCGATGAATCTCCTCTACTCTTACTGCCCATGTTTCACTGCCATAAAGTAGGACGGAACGAACTGCTGCACAATAAACTCGTATAGAGTATCAATGAGCATCAGTATTGTCACTTAGTTACCATGTGTCACAAAAAGAAATAAATGATCAGTAACATCACAAAAATATACATAATTATATAAATTCTTAGTTTTTTTTGGGGGGGGGGCGCAAATTCACTTTGAAAATTATGTGGTTTATTTAAAAATATGCTCAAATCAATTTTCATATTACACTTTTACTCAATTTCTTTCCTCTCTTTTTTTTCTTTCTTCCTTTCTTTTCTTTTCTTTTCGTAACAAGTTGAACATAACCATAAACAGAACAGTAAATAAAACATTATCAATCAATCAATCAATCAACTAATCAATGTATTTTGGCTTTAATAAAGAAACGTGAAAAAGAAAAACAAAAGAGAGAAAAATGACAAAAAGGAAAAAAAAACGACACGACGTTTTCATTTATATTCAACAATATAAACCTCAGTGTCTATTCTCTGGCTTGTAATAACAGTAATAGTAATAATAAGAATGATAGATGTAACTTTAGAAATGGTACTATATTGTAAAATTTCGCAGTATAATGACTAGTTACAAACGTGTGTTTATGGGTGTGTGTGTGTGTGTATGTGTGAAAGAGGGAGAGGGACGGGTTGATGAAAGAGACAAAGAAGATATTATAAAGAATGAATTAGTTGATAATCGATAATGATAGATGTTTACATAGATTTATAAATCAGTTAATCAGTTAGTAACAATGTAGAACTTTGTATGTACGTATATCGGTTTGAGTTGTCATACCATATTAATATAGAGATACAATTGTCAATTCAAATCTCATAATGATAGAAATAGTAAAAGTATCAACAGTCATCGAAAAGATTAAGGTGTGAAGATATTATTCAAAGAGTATAATCTAATGAAATAAATATAGAAAACAGAATTTAGGAGAACATAAAGATTGAATGTATCTATGCAATTGTAAATGATTTTGCTTCATATTATCTAAAGTTTCTAACCATCTTGAATATATGGAACTCAAAACAACTGTCTGTCAACTAATATCAAAGTCATAATCTTCAATACCAACGTCAAGACAGTTTTACTATACGGAGGTGAAACCTGGAGAACTACAACAACCATCATCAAGAAGGTGAAAGTACTCATAAATAGCTATCTACCCAAGATACTCAACATCCATTGACCGGATACCATCAGCAACAGCCTTCACTGGGAGAGAACAAACCAGCTTCCAGCTGAAGAGGAAATTCGGAAAAGACGATGGAAATGGATAAGACATATATTACACAAATCATCAAACTGCATCACGATACAAACGCTAATTTAGAATCCTGAATAGAAGAGGAAAAAAGGAAGGTCAAAGAGCACATTACATCGAGAAATAGAATCAGATATGAAAAGGATGAATAACAATTGAAAAGATCTAGAAAGGATTTCTCAGAATAAATTTAGATGAAGAATACTAATGAGAGGCCTATGCTCCTTCACGAGAAATAAAACCCAGGCATTATGTAATCAATCAAGACAGGATTGAATGACAAGTACTAGTAGGTGACCTATTCAAACATCTTTATGAATAATTTTTTTTTTCTTTATAAAATAGAATAAACAATAGAAAAAAAAATCAATATGTAATCATTTCCTTAATGATTACATAATCAATTTTTTTATTGATTAATACAACATTTATATAAGGCACAATGTGTATATAAATGTTTAATATATAATCGATAAATACGATTACCCCAAAATCCATATAGAATTGTATCTAATATTGCACTAGAATAAGAAAATATACTTGTATATTGTAACCATGTATATAAATAAGATTGATATTGATTTTTATAATAAGTATAATATTGTAACCATTGTATAATTAATATAAATGATCTTGGTCCACGACATATAATAAATAATAATAATAATATAATTAATATACGTAATGTACGTTTATGTTGTCGTCTTAATACTTGTATTAATATAGATTCATCAGTAGTAGATTTTGTATGCATCAGATCTGTTGTACGTGATTGAAATAATAAATTCAATATATCATTACTACTTTTACGACGTTTTTGTATTGTATACATTGTAGATAATTTAATATTTGATTCATTGAATCGATAAGATGGTGATGGTGATGTTGTTGTTGTTGTTGTTGTTGTTGTTGTTGTGGATGATGATGATGATGGTGGTGGTGGTGGTGGTGAAGTTCCTGTTGATGTTGTCAGTTGACAATTATTATGAGTAGTATTAGTAGTAGTAGTCAATAATCTTTTAGATGTTAATGTTATATTAGAATTATTCTCATAGAATTCATTATAGGATTGAATAATTGAAATACTATTTCTTCGTTCATTAAATAAATATTTTTGATTATTATCAATACTACTATTATTTCTATGATATAATGATGAATTAGTTGTCATGGTAGTAGTAGTAGTAGTAGTAGCAGGAGGGGGAGGAAGAGGGGGAGGAGGAGGACTATTTGATAAATTTTTAATCGATGAATATTGAAAACTATTCTCATTTAAATCAATAAAAGGAACTAAAAGTGTATTTTGTTTTTGATTTTTTAAATTCGCTATTGATTGTTTAGTTTCTAAGTGATCATTTAAAGGTTTATTGATTAATGTACTATACTCCTCAGATGTATTATCATTATTATTATTAGTAGTAGTATTGTTGTCGTCGTCAAAATTAATTCGAATATCTTGATTACTACTTTCAAGTACACGTAATAATGGTATTGGAAAATTAATAGTTGTTGTAGTTAATTTTCTTTGACTTGGTGAATTAATTGATGAAATCGATGTACCAGATATAAATGATGATTTACTAGTATTACTTGATTGTCTAGAGAAAAATCGTTTATCTCTTGATGATACCTATAAATGAAAAAAAAACAAAAACCTCAAGTGAAATCATTTGAAAATATTGATAGTAACGATTGAATCAATTAGTGAATTACTTAGTTAGTTAGTCAGTTAGCTAGTTGCTTAGTTACTTAGTTAGTTAGTTACTTAGTTACTTACTTAATTACTTACTTACTTACTTACTTACTTACTTACTTACTTCCGTAGTTACTTAGTTGCTTACTTACTTAGTTACTTGGTTACTTGGTTACTTACTTAGTTACTTTGTTACTTAGTTAGTTACTTACTTAGTTACTTGGTTACTTAGTTAGTTACTTACTTAGTTACTTAGTTAGTTTAACAAGGACAAACCTAAAGTAACAGCACGAAAAACAAATGTCTGGCGCTTTAACCACGTTAGTGGACACGGAAAGTCTACCTAGGTGAGTTGGAAAACCGTCATTCCAAAACAATGGTATACATGACCTCCAGTATCCTGAAGGGACAAATGGCGTATGAACGAATCGTTAGTTATCGGTTACTATGGGACTCGATATGTGGCCCTCTAAAAAAAAACCCACCTGTTTCGGTTTAGTTATATTTTATACTCATTGGTAATAGAATGAAATGAACTATTATGCAATATCATCATAGGGTTTTTTATTGAGATCATGAACGGATTAATGTTAGATCACTGTTGGAAACTTGAAAGTACTGGACAGCCGTTTTGTCCTATTGTGAAACTTCTCAACAGTATGCATCCATAATCCCATTCACGGGATTCGAACCCAGTGCTATCGGTCTTGCACACGTAAACACTTAATCAATTAATTCTTTTAGTTGGCAAATAGTTATTTCATTTATTTTTTTATTTTATTTACATTATAAATGAATTAATTAAATAAATAAAGAGGAATAATAAAATACCAAATACAAAATGTACTTTATAAAGTTCATAATGAAAAATAATAAGATAAGATAAATGTGTACATCCCCATATTGACTTATAATAATAAAGAAGAAGACGAAGAGGAAGAAGGAGAATAGGAGGAAGAAGAAGAAGAAGAAGAAGAATAGAACAATTTGTATGTATATCAGATTATTCGTGTTATTTTCATTTTGGATGATAGAAGATTGTTGTTTTTCATTTGATTATAATATGACCTTATTAGAAATAAGTACTTATATTTATCAAGTTATTATTATTATCATTATTATTACAAGCAAGTGGCTATCAGGACTTAATAGTTAAGTGGATAATGCGATGATATTTGAAGTGAAGGATACAGGGTTCGAGTCTTAGAGTGAATATCAACTGTGAGATGTAGGCACGTACAGTTGACCAGTGTCAAATAGGAGGAAACGCGCCTCCTGCATTCTACTGTTAACCACTATTCATGTTAGCTTAGAATGCTTGTGAATTATTGTGATCTTGAGGCAATACGCACAGTATACATATATGTCAATAAGCGACTGATCAATTGCAGTGCCAAACATCAATGCGAAGATTCAAATGAACAATGTCAAGTGAATTTCAACATCACCCCATTGCACAAACAAGTGGCTGTGAGGACTCAGTAATTAAGTGGATAACGTGATGACGTTTGAAGTGAAGGGTACAGGGTTCAAGTCTTAGAATGAACATCAATAAGTCTGGAATGAAGGTATAACCAACTGACGAGTCCTAAATAAGGCGAAATGCACTTTTTAGATTCCACTGCTAACCACTATCCATCTTTACGTATAATGCTTGTGAGTTAAGGCAAAATTAAGGCAATATAAACAGTATGTACGTATTATTAGAAGGAGTTTTATGTCGATTTTAGAAATTTCACTGATTAAAATCATGAGTCAATTGAAACTAGACAACCATGGAAAACCTGGAAGAATTGGACGGCCGTTTCATCCTAGTATGGGACTCCTGAGTATTGCGCATCCACGATCCTGAATCCCACGAGATTCAAACCCATCCAGTGCTTCCAGGTTTTCCATGGTGGTCTAGCTTCAGTTCGCTCATGATTTCAATCAGTATGTACATATTTCAATAAGAGATTAATCAATTGCAGTCCTACAAATCAATAGGAAGATTCAGGTAAGCAACAATATACAAGTGTAATTTAAAATTGTTATATATAGAGCTTCAGTCAGTTAATCAGTCAGCCAGCTACAAGGTAGGATCAGGCAGCTCATACATTATACTCATAACAAAAAAGTCAAAGACCCTATTACTCTATACGCACTCTTATTTTGTTCTATGATCTATTATGCAATCTGTAACCCTTACGAAAAACTGTTTTATTTTGAGTTTTAATCCAATATGTTTTTTTAATTTTAAAACAAATGAACACAAGTCCCTATGAAATCATGAACTAATCAATGTTAGACCACGATTCTGTACGTGGATGGGATTTGAACCCAGCACCCTAGGTTTCATCTATGAACACTTAATATCTAGACAAATGAACCGATGTCAATGTCAAATTTCAACCAATCCACGATGTCATACAACTGAGGTATCCCATACTAAAACAAACCGGTTGTCCAGTGCCTTCGAGTCTTCAATGGTGGTCTAACATTGATCGATTCATGATTTTTATGAAATTCAACAATCTTTACAACACAAAACTGAAGACACAAGTTTTGTTATCTTTAAATGGTAGATATTATTTCATGAGTAACAATATAACTTCCATATTTATCCCAATTATTATTTTTGCAAATTAATGTAACACACATTTCTAATTTTAGCAGTGATTTTCAGTGATTGTAGACAGTTGATAAGGAACCCTGTTCTCCCTAAGCATTGGACTAGTTGGCTTTAATTAGCAAGGCATAATTATAATATTGAAGGAACAATCAGTCCCCATAGGTTTGGAGATCATTTCACTTAGTTCCATAGTTTGATACATTATAGTTGAGTTACTAGGGTATATGACTTATATTCTGTAAGATAGAGATACGTACGTTAACTGGTCGTTAAGTAATGGACAATGTCGTGTCCGTCTAGCCACTAGTGATGTGCGATCAAATCCTACTGAAATTTGCAATTGCCCTAAGAATGTCGACAAAACTTTGTATGAAGCTTAGATTCACCAGGATTTCCTGAAAACTAGCCTTCAACCGTCTAACATAGAAGCATAGTGCTTGTGATATCGAATCATTTTGAATCATCAAACAAAATAGAAATATTCCAGTAGAGATAATCTTCTTTTCAAAGTTATCATTAACGAGACACATACAATCGTTAAGATAAGATGATGGTTGAAAGTAGTCAACAGGAAACCCTGAACCTTTAATCCTAAGGGAACTGACTCTCCATGACGGACTCGACCCCATGTCACCTAGCTTCACAATCAGAGATATTCACACTGCGCTATCCGGGCCGCGACCGACCTTCTATAGGACAGAGATGTATTCACAATTGATCGATCATTGGATGGTGATCAATGTCATGTTTATCAGGTCCTTCGTAGTGCAGATCGAATACTGTCGATCAAGTTGTAATGTGGCTACCAGTTTAGGTGACTTGGTTGATATTAGTCGATCTGCACTAAGAAGGACCCGACAGATATGACATTGGTCACCACCCAGTGATCAGTCAATCGTATTTATAGTTATTTTTTAACATATAGTGGTCGATAATACAAATAGAGAACTATTGACTCATTAACAGAGGTGCTAAAGGTTAAACAGAACTGAGAGTTACTTAATCGCTAGGGAGTAATCAGTATGAAATAAAATATAACAATAAGATAAGAGTATTTTCCATTTAATGATTATAAAAAAGACAAATATGTACGAACATGTACGCATCCACGATCCCGCTCGTGGGATTACAACTCAGAGCCTTCAGTCTTGCGCGCGAACACTTAACCTACTGGACCACTGATCAGGCATCCAATGGTGTTAATATCTAATTTCAACTCATCCACGAAATTGAGCGACACGTTCATCAGTGTCTTTTGTGAGTTACTATCTCACAACGGACTCGGTTGAATTCTACTGTTCACTACTTCGCACTAGAACTCCAGGATATACCTCTTGAAGCCAGTCACTAGTTGATTAATATCAGATGGGTTTTGTGGATATTATAGTAATTTCAATGGTTGTGGATGCGCACAGCTGAGGAGTCCGGCAATAGGATGAAACGGCCGTCTGGTGCTTCCAGGTTTTCCGCAGTGGTCTAGCTTCAACTGATTCATGATCTTAACCATTGAAAATACCATAATATCTACAAAACGTATCTGATATTTTAAATGTTTCAAACAGTGTAAAGAGACATTTCTACTGATTGTAATATATATTGTTTGAATTTCACTCAAAAGCCTCAGGGTCATGTTTCAGATTTTGATTGGCTCAGAAGTACATACACCTTGTGAAGGTACATCACTCGAACACTATCAACCGGGTCTTGTTAATGACTAATTAAAACTAAATTTACATATTTTTTATCAGAATGGGGGGTTTGTGAAGATTATAGTGATAGAAAAGTTAAATTCGTGGGCTGATTAAAGTTAGACCACCATAGAAAATCTGGAAGTACTGGAAGACGGTCTCGTCCTATTATAGGACTCTTCAGTAGTGCACATTCACGATCCCGCTTACGGGATTCGAACCCAGAACCTCCGGTCTCGCCCGCTAACCCTTAGCCAGTGGAGTTCAACCGTGTCTTTTGTGAGGCAGTGACTCACTGAAGACAATGATAGACGGTCGTGAAATTTCGTGGATTGGTTGAAGTTAGGCGTTAACACCGTTGGTGGTCTAGAGGTTAACAGTTCACATACGATACTAAATGTCCTGGGTTCGAGTCCAATGTGCAGGATCGTGAATGAGAACTGGTGAAGAGTCCTATAATAGGACGAAACAGCCGCTCGAAGCTTCCAGATTTTCCATTGTGGTTTAGCATCCAAATTACTAGCCTCAATAATTATCGGACGCTTAACAAAGACTCATGGACTGAAGACACGAGAAAACCAGGATGGCACCAAACCTAGTCGTGGCTGCATCGACCACATGTTCACCATCCGTCAGAT